AAAGACATTGACAGAAATATGCAGAGGCCAGATCATAATTCTCCATTTCCCTGCTTTCCGTGACGCAATCATTTTCATTTTTATTCTTCTGTGGCTATCCTTTTTCCACCCAGTCTTCAGATGTTTATGATCATCATGAACCTCTTTGATTTTGTTTTACCCCCGTCCCTACTCTGAGTTATCATAGCCATTTTCATATTTTCTACACCTACACACTGATGACTCCTTTCCCTCACTCTTAGAGCTCATGTAACCAATTTCTAGGTGAACATTTCTGCCTGGGTTTTCTCCAGCTCCTTCCGAGTTCACATTCCTAAACCTGAAATTCTTATGGTCTCTCTTTTTACCATTTGAGTTGGTAACACTGTCAGCCACCCAGTCACCTGACTCAGAATCATGAGCTACATTTATTCCGCTTCTCCTTCATTGCCCACGTCCAGTTACATACACTGGCTTCCAGATGACATGTGTATTTTGGTTTATTTCCCTAGTTGGTCCTTTCCTTTCCCTTATACTGCAGATGTTTGGCTCATTTTTCTCATCACCTGATATTCAAACTAATAGAGGTGATTTCAGATTGGTATCTGAAGGTTTCATCCTGTTCTCCTTAAATCAGCCCTTCCCCAAGCCAACAGAGTGATCTGGCAAGTGAAGATGAGCCTGCTTCCCAGTCCTGCGTCCACGTCCTTCAGTTCCCCACTCCCTCATGCCGACAGCAGTCCTTCTCAACCTTGGTTTCAGGATATATGTATGTGCTTCAGAATGTTCAGTGAGAACACTGCAATTTTGTTTGCATATTTTACTGATAATCATCCTAAAACCAACCTACACTTTGGGTTTATGGTGGCACATCTGTCAAAGAATGACCTGAACTTACTAGGTCTAGCTTTATTATATACAGTATTTCTCAGACAGTATTGAAAGTTTCCAGAGGTTATAAGCATAGTTTTAGGGATCTGTGTGATGTATATAGAGATATAGATATATATACTGTGTACACACACATACATATGTCTATACCTGTAGAGACAGAGGGACAGAGATGCAATCTGTATGTATCTACATTTCTTTATCAGATATGGTTTCTGTGTGTATGACTTTTCCAAACGAACATTCAAGTTAGAGACTTTACATTCCACAGGCTTAAGTTCAAGGTTCTTAATATATTTTAAGACTTATAAAATCTTTTATGATCTGGCCTCTGCATATTTCTGTCAATGTCTTTTTGTATATTTTTGGGCAAAGCAGCATCAAATTATTCCTTGTGGGTTCCCCCACATACAAATGCTGTATTTTCCTCGTTACGTCTATGTGTTTATAATTACACCGTAGGTGCCTGGAATAGTCCTGCCTTTTTCCATTTTTCTGA